ATACTAACACTCTTAATTACATTGATATTTCTGAAGCTGATGTTTTCGATAAATTGATAAAATTAACATTTAAAGTTAACACCTCACCCGATTGCCTAAATAATTACATTCTTAAAAAATGTGCAGGTAGCTTAACTCAACCTATAACTCAAATTTTTCGATACTCAATGATGACAGGCACCTTACCCTCTATTTGGACCCATTCAAACATTATACCATTGTTTAAAAAAGGTGACAAATCACTAGCATCTAATTATCGACCTATAGCCTTAACTTGTACCTTAGTTAAAGTTCTGGAAAAAATTATTAAAGATAACTTAATTGTACGCATAACAAAATATTTACCTACATCTCAACATGGATTTATTAAATCTAAATCTATTGTTTCTCAACTATTAGAAGCACATGATGACTGGACTAAGGCTCTTGATGAAAATCTTTGTGTTGACATTATCTACTTCGATTTCATAAAAGCCTTTGATAAAGTTTCTCATACTATTTTATTAAAAAAACTCACAAATATAGGTATAGGTAATCCACTACTATTTTGGATTGAAAATTTCTTAAGATATCGTACCTACTCTGTCAAAATAAATAATGCTTTTTCTGAAAATCATACAAGTAATATGGGTGTCCCTCAAGGTTCTGTCCTTGGCCCTATTTTGTTTATTTTCTTCATCCATGATTTAGTCAAATTCTGCGCCACACATGATATAATTTTCAAATTTTTTGCTGATGATTTTAAGGCATATTTAATCCATTCCAATTGTAACAAACGTTTTCTTCTACAAAATTGTATTTCAAAAATTGAAATATGGTCAGCTGAAAACGAGTTAGAAATTTCAGCAAAAAAATGCAATGTCCTTTATTTGGGCAAAAATAACTCTAAATTTCCTTACTATATTTCCAATAACAAGATTACTCCAATAATTTCCTTTGTTCGCGATTTAGGAATTTTAACCTCATCTTCATTAAAATGGACTATTCATATTGATTATATTAAAAAAAGAGCTTACACTCGACTTTTCACACTTTTCAAAGCAATTAAATCGAATGATCCTAATTTTTTAACAAAAGCATATACTTCTTATGTACGACCAATTATAGAATCATTTTCTCAATTATTTAACCCTTACCTCAAATCAGAAATAAAAAAACTTGAAGACGTACAAAAAATGGCGGTTAAAATTATATATTTCCGCGGACTTCAGAATCTCTATCCAACTAAACCTTCATATGAAGATCTCCTTATGATTTTAAATCTTAAATCCATTAAAGATAGATTTTTAATTAATGATATTATGTGTTATCACAAAATAATTCACGGATACATAAGCATAGGTAAATCTCATTATCCCAAATTAACTAAGTCAAATACCAGAAATCAAATAAAAATTAATTCTTCACATTCAAACTTAAATTTAAGGCACCATTTTTTCTTTGAAAAAATGGCTAGAATATATCCAAAACTTCCTAATGAACTTTTTAAGCATCAAAAAATACAAAATTTTCGTACTTGTCTAAATAAAATCGATCTTTCCTCAATCAAAATTTAAATTAAATTAAGTCAATTTAACATAATTTAATTAAAAAAATAATTATCACTTTTCAATTTAGAGATCAGCTTCTAATTTTATTTTGTTTTGTTCTAGCAAAATGAACTGACAGAGATAAAAAGAAGTTTAGAAAAATTTTCAAAAAAAAAATTTTTTTTAGAAGTTCAGAAAATTTTTTCAAAAAATACATAAATTTTATTTGAAATTTTTCCCTTTTAAATTAGTTGTTGAGGAAAAGAATCGTTTTAAAAAAAAAGAGACTTCAGTAATTTGGATTAAAACTTACAAAATAAATTAATTTAATACTATTATCTACTTGGAAAAAAATTTCTATTTCATAACAATATATATTAAGCACACAAAATACCTGCCGAATACCCATTTTGCCCCTCAATGTGCCTAACAATCGTCTTGCACTTTATCGATTGGGCCACGGGGATTACAGCAATGTAATCTTGTCTGCTTTGGCATCTAGCTAACGCTTGTGAGCGCCAGTTCATCTGGTAGCTCGGCAAGAAGAGGCACGCACATCAGCCAACGCTGATGAGCGCCAGTTCATCTGGTAGCTCGGTCAGAATAGGCTTCCTTAACACTAATTCGGTAAGGGTTTTGCTGCTTAACTTGACATTGTATTCAAAAAAAAAAACAAGAAGTATTAAATTAAATGTCTAGAAATTATTTACATATACTAATCACTGAAGTCTTTGAAAATAAATTTAAAAAAAAACTCAGCATTTCTAATTTTTCCAAATTTCGTTCTAATAATACTCCCACCTAACCTATAATTTCCAATAATGACACTGTATTTTATTGAATTTAATTTGTTGTTTTTTAATTGTGGACGCGTATTAATTTACGTATTAAATAAATAAATAAATAAATAAATAATACAAAGAATAAATGATCAAATGTTTTTAAAAATTTTTGTTGTTGTCTTTAGTTTTTCATCCTAAAACATACATACATGTCATTCTAAAGCGTATAATTTCTTTCCAATTTTTTTTGAATTTTATTATTTCCTTGTTGTTGTCATTCACATCATAAATTTTTCTAAATTTTTATTTTCAGACAATTTTTTTCATTTTTGTTATTTTATTATTAGGAACGGATCCTGAGTTTTAAAAACCTAAAATATGTATGTAAACCTCGGGTTTCGTTTCAAAGTGAAATGCCGACAACTTATTGAAGGGTCTGGTTGGAGGAGAGGTCTGCCCCTATAGACACCAGCCTATTGAAGGGGTTGCTATGGGGGAGGCGATAAAGGGGAAATCCTTTCCTGGTGGCGTGTTCAAGATTAATTATGGGAGGGAGCAAGGGAAACTAATTGGGTTTGGTGAGGGGGCCACCAAAACATTCCGGGCTAAAAAGGAAACTCATTGCTGATGCTAGCCATAAGGGTGTATTAATTTAAATTATTCAATTATATTTTCTTCAAATTATTAACAAAAATTAACGGCGTATAATGCTACAAAAAGTTATAGTTTTAATCCTAATTCTTTAAACTATATTATGAAATTCAAAGCCATCACCAAAACCTGGCTCCTCAAACACAAGTATCTTTAAAAAGCTTCTTAAATTATCTACAATAATAAAAATAAAAAAAATAATAAATTTATAGGAAGATGTTCTGCCCCGCGTGGCATTTTTGGTCCTAAACGGCGTGGCTTTTTGGAACATTAAAAAAATTCTTTATAAAATCTATGAAACAAATGGCAACTTATTTTTTAGAAATAAAGTCAAAAAATGGCGACTTAATAATAAAAATTAGAAAAATATATGATGTGGATGACAACATGGAAATAATAAAATTAAAAATAAATTAGGAAAAAATTATACGTGTTAGAATGACATGTATGTTTTAGAATGAAAACATAAATTAAAGAAAAGAAATTTTTAACAACAAAAATTTTAAAATATTTCTAACTTTATTTCATCATTTATTTATTTTTTAACTAATTTTATCATTGAATTTGTTACTATTTTATTCTATTGAGAGTAGTGTTGCCTATTTCGGACCGAACTGAAACAAAAATCATATGATTTTAGGTTCGGTTTGGTTCCGAAAAATTTTTTGAAAAGGACAACACTAATTGGAAGATATTTAGCGAGCATTTAGCTAAGTTATTTGGAAAATTTTCCGTTACAATTAGATGTGTTATTGAAATATTCATGGGATGTGAGGCGGAACAGGACCATAATATTTAGGGCCAACACTATCCTTTCTCCAAATTTGAAAAAATTTTTAAGGTTACAATTTTTTGAATGCTCGCAGACAGACTAGGACACGGATACGGATTTTGGTATTTGTATCTGGATATTTACGGCGGATACAGACGGATAGGCGGATATCCGCAGGCATTTTGGTATTATCTGTATCCATATCCGTATACATGACCATGTCTGCTCGCAGGTAGGTCTCAGAAATATGGGGAAGGGGATAAAAATATAAAAATAACTTGCGCGGAAAGGTAGATAGCCAACAGGACATTTACCCTAGAGAGTCTTTATATGTCTTTATAATAAGCTTCTATCTAACACAATCAAAAAAATATTTTCAGAAATGAAATTATCATTTCAACCAAAATCGGGTCTAATACTTTTAATACATTATATAATATTATCAACTTTATTTGGTAATGTAAAGGCTATTTGCGAAGGTATTGATCCAGCTTTAAGGGATTTTTGTGTAGCTTTGGACGCTGTAAAGTATAATAAATGGGTAGATAATATTAATTTTTGAAAATTTTTTAAATTAATTTTAAATTTAGGACCCAGATTGTAAGTCTATTTTAAGTTGAATAAAATAATTTTTTTTTGAAAAGTACGAGGAGCTAGAGGGGAACTACCTTCCAGCAGGCCAGAATTGAGATGTGTAAATTTGAGCTGTTTTTGTCCTGCAGTTAATGGTAATTAAAATTTAAAAAAATTAAAAATGCTTAATAAAAGGTAAAAGAGATGGTTCTGTAAATGGTTGTATACTTCCCAACAATAAACCAATTGGAAAATGTATTAGACGTGAAATTAGAATGCTGTCAGATGAACAAAGAGAAGCTTATGTAAATTATATATTAAATTAATTAAAACCAAAATTGTTCAAAAATATCAGAATTATTTTAAAAACACAACTTTCAGTAGGGTAGTTCACTGACGGGAAACATTTTTTCGCTTTTCAAAAAATTTTGATAATATTTGCAGCTTAGATTCGTTCTCATAAAAATAAGAACGTAAAGTGTGTAATTAGAACCTAGCACTCGCTTAGAATAAAATGTAGCCACCTAACCACCTACGTAGCCCCTAACCACCTACGTAGCCACCTAACCACCTAACCAACCGGTATTAACTCAACTTTTATGGACCCCCCCCCCGGTGGGTACAACTCTACATTTCATATTTTTTATTAAAATTCTAAAAATAATTAAATTTAAGTTCAAAACCATAAAAGAAATGAAAGCAAATAATGATTTTGATATCATTGCATTACTACATTTACAAGCCTGGGAGGAAGGTGGGGCACACGGCGGCCCTGACTTTTTGTTATTTCATAGAGAACTGCTTAAAGTGTATGAAAATAAATTAAAAAATTTAACAAAAAATTGAACAAATTTAAAGTTATGAATTAGCGATGCGAGAAGCTTCATACAAACTTTTCCAATCGACAGATGTTTGTTTGGCTTATTGGGACTCGACCTTGGATGGACGTTTACCGACACCAAAGGATTCATATTTCTTCACCGCTGACGTAATTTTATTAGATAATTTATCAGATCAGATTTAAATTAAAACAAAAAGAATATAAAATCTGAATTAATTTTAATACTTTCATAGCAAGATAAAAACGATCAAATCCGAATTGTAAAGCATATAGCTATTAATTTCCTAAGGCTGTGCAGTAGGCGGCGTGCTGTAGTGGCTAACACATCAGTCCGGTCCACTGAAGATGCTGGTTCGCACCAGCCGCCGATTAACCTTTTGCACATAGCTGAAAGAGAGAAATAGCTATAGCCCAGCTTGCTTTACTGAATTAAATTAAAACAAATTTAATAATTTTAGTTCATTGGAAGTACAAATGCTAGTGGACAAGTTATTGACGGGCCTTTTTCACCTTGGTTAACATTAATGGTTTTCAAGAATAAAAATATTTCAATATTTCAAAATTTTTTATTAGAATACAGATTATCTTGAAAGAGCAGTAGGTGTTGGTGGCACCTGCTACAAAGAAGAATAGTAATTATTAAATTATATCTCCAAAATTGGTAAAAATAAGGTTATTGATAGGGGGGTAATGATATGCAAAAGTTCTGATTATGACTTCTATGTATACAAAATAGTAATAGCATCCTTCGGTTTTTAAAGGATAGTGAAAGAAATAAAAATTGTAATAGTGGGGGAATAAATATGGCAAAAGTTGAGAAACACCATCCCGCTGTACAATAGTAGGGAGCAGGCAATGTATCGCGAGCCCAATGTACCGCCGAGTTATAACATCGTTTAAAATTGTCGAATCTGGGACGCCGTGGTATGGTTCGATACATCTTGACGAGCTGAGTCTAACATACCAAGGCGTCACGGATTTGATATCTTAAACGAACATTGAGGTGTACCAATTATAGTAAATCTTAACTCCTCCAAAAATCTCTTCGGGAAGTAATTAAATAATTACAGCATTAATTGGCAAATGCAACAAACTAAGATTGAAAATATCATTGCATATACGGCGATACCAGATCCAGGAAAGTGTTCTAGTAAAGTATATTCTGGAAATCCCGAAGTTTGTAAAATTTTAGTAAAAATATATGGTGTACGGAATTCTGGTCACCGGAATTTTGGTCACCAAGATTTTTCGGAACTTTGGTCACCAATTTTTTTGAATTTTGGTCACCAGCGGAATTTTGGTCACCAAGTCAAAAAACGGAATATTGGGCACTGAAATTTTGGTCACCAAGAGGAATTTTGGTCACCAAACGAGAAAAACAAATCTTATCTAAAACTGAAATCAAACTGATTAAAAATAGTTATTCAACCCCCAGTTGATCAATTTCAATTTTTATCACTCTCCCGGCTGATCACTCTCTCGGTTGATCACTCTCAATCACTCTTCCGGAAGATTGATTAACTAGGAGAGTGCTCAACATTGAAAATGTTCATCAGGGAGTTGAAAAACAATTTTTTATCACGTTGTTATCAGTTTTAGATAAGATTTGTTTTTCAAGTCTGGTGACCAAAATTCCTCTTGGTGACCAAAATTTCAGTGCCCAATATTCCGTTTTTTGACTTGGTGACCAAAATTCCGCTGGTGACCAAAATTCCAAAAAAATTGGTGACCAAAGTTCCGAAAAATCTTGGTGACCAAAATTCCAGTGACCAAAATTCCGGCATCCAAATATATAGTCATGATTTATAGTTGGCTCATGGTGGTCCTCACACATTTATCGGTGGAAATATGGCATATATAACTACATCAGCAAACGACCCTGTTTTTTACAATCATCATTGTTTCGTTGATTTTGTAAGGAAAAAAAATAAAATTTTAATTTTGTAATTTTCCTAGCTTTTCGAACAGTGGCGTCAAGCAAGACAAAATTATTCTGAAAGGCCAGTTCAATATCCACTTGATAATTCTGTATATTTATTAATGTTTCTGTAATATGAAATTATATCTTTAGGCTTGTGAAACAGAAATTCATTTCAGAAATCAAAAAATGACACAATTTCCAGTAATATTTTTGTTTAAAAAATTGGTCGGGCATAAGATCAGGGATTTTTTGATATAATTCGGACCCATCACACTTATTTGGAACCAGCACTTACTATAATACCGATGTATATATGAGGATCCACATATTCAATACACAATAATCTATCCCCAGAATCATAATATAGTATGTATACAAAACATTCACATAAAGTGCTTCGACGCTGTTGTGTAGTGGTATCGCTATAGTATCTAAACTAGTGAAAGCGTCAGTCTATCCGGATCATTAGCGGAACTAGTCACTGATCTCTGATGTCTGCTCCACGCTCGTATCAAAATTTGTTCCTAGTCTTGGTACGAGAGTAGGTAAACTATTGAGAACTCTAACTCCTATGCTACCTTCATACTAAATCATACGTTCCTTACGGACTATTTCAATAGAAAGGAGAAAATATAATTGACCAAGTATTACTTGATCATTTTATAGATTATTACTGTATAGTAGAAATATCCTTTTTAGTATATAACAAATATCGATGGATGTAGAAACGAATATACAGACAATATGTATGAATATGCACCGAGGCCAAATTGTAGTTTTAATAAGCCTGATTGTGGCTCAAAGTAGGAATAACTTAAAGAAATTAAATTCTAAATTAAAGATATTTATTTTGTGACCTCTCCCATGGAACTCCCCATTGCGCAGCAAAAGCGCGTCCAGGGGGAGATTGTAAAGGATTCTTCAAAGGTCTAAAATTATTTTTGAATTAAAAAATTTTAAACTAATTTGAAGGTGAAAAAGTTTGTTATAACAGTGAATGTGTGAACAATGTCTGTGTAGCTCAGCCTACATCGACAGCAGCTTCGACGTCGACTACCAAGACTTCATCGACAACAGCTTCGACGTCGACTACCAAGACTTCATCGACAACAGCTTCGACGTCGACTACCAAGACTTCATCGACAACAGCTTCGACGTCGACTACCAAGACTTCATCGACAACAGCTTCGACGTCGACAACTAAGATTCCATCGACAACAGCCTCGACGTCGACAACTCGACCGACATCGACAACAGCTTCGACGTCGACAACTCACACTCCATCGACAGCAGCTTCGACGTCGACAACTCGACCGACATCGACAACAGCTTCGACGTCGACAACTCAAACTCCATCGACAACAGCTTCGACGTCGACAACTCACACTCCATCGACAGCAGCTTCGACGTCGACAACTCACACTCCACCAACGAAAGCTCCATGCGATGACAATGATGTTGAATTTTTATTTTTAACTTTGATAATTTTTATTTCCCAATATTTCAGCCTTATAACTGCGATAAGTGTTACTGAAGAAACACTACATGCATCGAGACATGAATAAAATTCTGAAAGATGTTAAATTCTTTGAACTATTATATTACACTTCTTTAATTATTTCTTACTATTAAATAAATTATGGCTATCCTGTTTTTCATGAAGGTCTTAATAAACTCAATCAAAAATAACAGTTACCGTAAATGCTGAAATAATTACCCTGGGTAATTATTGTTTCGATCTCCCGCTGTAGGGGGTAATTATTAGGGCGGGGGTAATTATTTGATAGAGGGCTATTATTGTTTCGACTGTATAATTTTTATTTCTTCATAAGCATATGAAGAGGAATATATAATATATTGCTGAATGCAGGGGTAAATCTTGGCATTTCTAGGCTGACGTTTTTAAATTTGGTATTTTGAATTAAACACTTCGTTTATCTTTTACAATTTTTTAAACACTTTCTTTTACACTTTTTTCCACTTATTCTTTTACGATTTAAATTTTTATTTTTTGTTTTTAAGAAAATGAAAAATGAAGCAGAGATTAGTGAAATTCATGATCAATCAGAAGTTTCTGGAGGAAAAAAGCGTTATAGAAGTTACAAATTGACAAAAGCAACTTTAAGCAATTAATTGGGCAAAGAAAAATTCAATTCATTCAGCCTCAAGGAAATTTAATGTTGATCGAAAAATAATCAGAAACAGGATGAATAATCAAAATGAACTTGAACAACAGAATAGCCTAGCAGGCAAAGTTTTTACATCCGGATCTGGATAAGGAATTGGCTGATTGGGTGAAAGAAATGCGTGGAAGGAAGCTATTAGTGTCACGGCGTATAATCAGAAACAGGCAATCGAGCTTTTTAGGAACACTGATTTGAAGGTTGCATAGTTTTTTTATTAAAATGTCCACATAATTTAGATATCCGATGGATGGCTGGCATGGTTCATGATTCGGAATAGATTCGTTCTTCGTCGCCTCACAACAACTTGTCAGCGGCCTCCTGAAAACTACATTGAGGCAGTTGCTAAGTTTATTGTTCATGTAGAGAATAAAAGGAAGGAATGTTCTTTTTCTGAGATTTTGACAATGGATGAAACAGCCGTTTGGTTTGATGATCCTGGAGGCAGATGCATTGATACACGTGGTGCTAAGGATGTGAGATACATTTCTTATCTTTTTGTTTTATTCGATTTTTAGGTGACTGTACTTACAACTGGTCACGAAAAGATGAGGATCACCGTTTGCCTTACGGCATGTTCAGACGGGAAAAAGCTTCTCCCTTATGTACTTGTTAAGAACAAACGACCCATTGTACGCCTCGTTCAACAATTCAAAGGTTAATATTTAGTATTTTTAGTGAAATTGTTATTATTCAAGGTAAACTTGTTATTAACTGGGCTGGAACAATATGGATGAATGATGAAACTACTGAAGACTATCTCAGAAGAATAATTGGCAGTAACGTTTTTGGCTCGAGGCGGATGCTAGTTTGGGACACTTTTGGGAGTCACAAAAGTGAAGCAACTGCCAAAGTCATGTGAGAGCTGAAGCTGGAGCTGAAGCTCACCGTTTGCCTTACGGCACGTTCAGACGGGAAAAAGCTTCTCCCTTATGTACTTGTTAAGAACAAACGACCCATTGTACGCCTCGTTCAACAATTCAAAGGTTAATATTTAGTATTTTTAGTGAAATTGTTATTATTCAAGGTAAACTTGTTATTAACTGGGCTGGAACAATATGGATGAATGATGGAACTAC